GGAGCTGGAATGAAGCCTGGGTCAGCCTGAGTTTGGCGGAGATGACCGGGGAGGGCCGGTCCTCTGGTGGTGTGGTTGGTGCTAGGCCAGGGATGCTGGGTGGAGGTTGGCTGGGTCTCATCCTTAACCTAAGACGACCAATGTTAGTCCTTGGAACGTTCGTCCCTGTAGTGAAGGAGGTGGGAAGGGTGTTCCCTGAGCCCCAAACTTAGTGATGGCAGAAGTTGATTTCGGGCCCCAGGTGGCCCAGGTCTACTTCTAAAAAGGCCCCAAATCCCTCTTTGAGCTTAAGTACATGTCTGCAAAGAAACCCCGACAAGTCACCACCAACGTTAGTGCCCCAGAAAGGGCAAACTGAACAAACAGGTAATGATGCTCAATCCCCACCCAAGGCTCAGCCTGCGCCCCAGTGCTTTGGGATGCGGGGTGTCTTGTGGCTGGCCTTGGGCTAGTTCCTGGGATGCTCAGAGTAGCCTTCCTTCCTTCTCGTGCTCCTAGGTCCTGGACAGCCTGCTTGCTCAGTATGGAACAGTAGAGAACTGTGAACAAGGTAAGAGTGGGCAGAGGTGGTAGGGTGGTCGGTGTTGGAGGACTTTGGGGGATCTGCTCTCCTCATTGTCCATGGGCACATCTATTTGGCATGCCAAAAGAGGACAGAGTGTGATAGAGACACTGGACTGAGGATCTGGACATGTGGCTCTTATCTTGCGACAGGTCCCTCCTCTGTTCAATGAGACTTGAACAAAATCACTCATTCTTGACATAGGGTCCCAGGCTGCTAGGGGTCAACCAAGGTAGAACTAAGATTTTAGAAATAGCCCTAGCCGGTGTGGCTTAATGGATTGAACATCATCCCATACAGGAAGAGGTCACTGGTTCGATTCTTGGTCAGGGTGGGCTCGGTCCCCATGTATGGGGCTTGCAGGAGGCAGCCAATCGATGTTTCTCTTCCATTGATGTTTCTATCTCTCCTCTCTTCCTCTTTTTCTAAAAATCAATAAAAACCTATTTTAAAAAAAGACTTTAGAAATAGTTTAAGAATGGAAATTGAGTGTTTATCATGGATAAGTAAGTCTGCAGCTCCTTTACTTTAAAAGCATTTCGAGTCCCCCTTTTTGGCTGGAATAATCAACTGGTTGTCTCTTTTTTTGTTAGAATCCCTGATTGTCAGCGACATGTTTTTTGGTCAATGAAAAAAAAAGCAGAGGATTTATTACTTTATTTTTTCTTTAAAAATAATGTTTATTGATTTTTAGAGAGAAAGGAAGGGGGAGAGAGAGGGAAACATCAATGTAAGAGAAACATCGATTGGCTACCTCCTGCCTGCCCTCTACTGGGGATCGAGCCTGAAACCCAGGCATGTGCCCTGACCAGGAATCAAACCATGATCTCATGATTTCTGGGTCGATACTCAACCAGAGACACACCAGCCGGGCTAGAAGATTATTCTTGCAGAATCCTCCTCACCACCCAGGTGGGAGAACGCTTGAGGTTTGGTGGCCAAGTGCCTTTCCTCAGCTTGTGGGACAGAGGCTTGAGTGTTTTGGGTTTTGTTGTTGTTGTTGTTGTTTTTTAATATTTTTATTTGTATTGATTTCAGAGAGGAAAGGAGAGGGAGAGAGAGAGATAGAAACATCAATGATGAGAGAGAATCATTGATTGGCTGCCTCCTGCACACCCAGCCCACAACCTGGGCACATGCCCTGGACTGGAATCGAACCTGGGACCCTTCAGTCCGCAGGCCGACGCTCTATTCACTGAGCCAAACCAGCTAGAGCGAGGCTTGAGTTTTGTCCATGTCCTCCACCCTGGGGTTGAGCAGGCCCAGGGGACCCCAAAGCACAGGACAATGATGCACATGACAGAAGGTTGATTTTATTAATTTAAAAGGAGAACTATGTGCCCAGACTGCCTGAGATTCTAATGTCCGATCCATTCTCCTCCCTGTGGGAAAGAATGTGTATGGTAATCAAATGAAAGTCACAGGCTGCTTATGAAGAGTTTGGGGGGATTAACGGCTGGTGTCCTGAGTTGGTGATGCCCTGACTATGTGCATTTCCACGGTCAGTGACGTTTGGAGCAGCCGGGAAGTCCTTTCCTCTGGAAAAGATACAGACACACTCATTCCCCACTCCCTGGGCCACAGCAGCCACTCCTGTCACCCCATTAGCTCGCTCCCAATACTCATGCATTTGGCTGATGGAGCCTTGAGGGTACTTCGGCCTCTAACATGGATTTGGGTGTCCCCCAAACCTTCCGTCACACCCTTAAAGCCATTTCTTGGGATGTTTACTTCTGTAAATTGCTAACCTCAGTGTGTGTTGATTTTTAACTAGTTTAACTTTCCAAGGGTAAATTATCTCGCAGGCTCTTGTGTGGGCGTCTGAGCTGCTGCCTGACTGATGTGTGGACTCCATCCTTTCGTATGCCCAGCTCTCTTGGGGGCTGGGAAGGGAAATCAAAGGAAGATGTAGAAAGGGAAACGCAAGAACGTAAATTTAAGTTTCCTAGGAGTTCTGGTAAAAGGGGCCTGAAGAGGCACCGCTTTGCCTTGCCATTCAAGTTATTTCACAAGCTCCCAAGGCTCTGCTCCACGCCTGTCCCTCACAGTGTGTCAGGATGAGCTTTCCACACACAGGATTCATGCGTGGCTTCTCCAGATTTCACTGCCCTAACCCTGGCCTCTGTTTTGCTCCCCCCGCCAGTGAACACGGAAAGTGAGACGGCCGTGGTGAACGTCACCTATTCCAACCGGGAACAGACCAGGCAGTGAGTGGGCCGGAGAGGGGGGCTGGGAGGGGCTTTGTGGGGTGTTGCTGGGTAGTGGGTTCAGGAATCTCAAAGGTTCAGTAACTCATTAGGATTGATGGCAAATAGATTGAAAGGGAGGGGCCCAAAGGACTCCCAGGGAAGATGGGAACTCTGTAGGGGAAAAGGTTGGCTTCCCAGAGAGATCTCAGTTGCCCAAGAACAGCGGGGCTTTGCTGTGTTGGTGGCGCCATCTAGCGATAGTGAGGAGGAACTGCTATCTCTAAAGAAAAAGGATTTGTTAATGATAGGATGTGGCCGGGCAGACATTTTATTGCTGTGATTGCCAATGGGCCCAAGGTATGCTTGCTAGGGTCCTTTCCGTCCTCTTACACCCACACGGCCCAGCTCCTCCTCCCTTTGGCTGAGTGATGAACACGGCTCACTCACTGGTAACTGTACACATTACCCATCTGCCCATTTATGTCTATATGGACCCTGTCAATACATGGGCCTTTGGCCACCTTTTGCTGTTGATGGCTCTCTTGCTGCTTCATCATGCTGCCTCTATCCTTTCTGTTTCTTCCAACTTAGGCTACACTGTAAAATCCCACCACTTTCTCAGATCTCATTATTCTAGACGTCTCCTGGGCTCACAATTTTCTGGAGGCTCCTGCTGCCCCTTGTGGCCAGCCTATGGTTTTTAGCCTGGCTTTAAAGATCATGGCAGCGCTTGCTCACTCCCATACCTGCTGTTGCCTTGTTTACATTTCTAACCAGCGACAGGTTTGGGAAGCTGGGGGGGCTTGACCCCTCCCTCCAGTGTAATTCAGCCGGTTAGACATTCCAGATACACAAACTCCTGTTTCCATGTGGTAATAAGCAAGCCATTCTGTCTCCAGCTCTTAACTTTTTTTTACAGTTTCCTTAAACATAGAAGGTGCCAGGCTCAATAGGAATAAAACCAAGTCGTGTGAATTATCACCTTTATTTATTGTATTTATTCATTTATCATGCGATTCTTACATGACTTGTATAGGTAGTTTTGGCTGAAATTGACAAGCTGATCCCAACATTAATTGGAAATAACTAATTTACGTTTCCCTTTGATGTCTTGGGCCACGTAGACTGGAAGGGTCCCTAAGGTGGAGGTGGGAGTGGTGGGCAGGTGGTCCTATCCCTTTCTTAAGGGCTGTACCCACGGAGGGCATTTGGTGTGATTGGCATGGGTTGGAGTAACCAGGAGATTCTCTCTCTGTCCCCAGAGCCATCATGAAGCTGAATGGCCACCAGCTGGAGAACCATGCCTTGAAGGTCTCCTATATTCCCGACGAGCAGACAGCACAGGGTCCTGAGAATGGGCGCCGGGGGGGCTTTGGCTCTCGGGGTCAGCCTCGGCAGGGCTCGCCGGTGGCAGCCGGGGCCCCTGCCAAGCAGCAGCAAGTGGACATCCCCCTGCGGCTCCTCGTGCCCACCCAGTATGTGGGCGCCATCATTGGCAAGGAGGGCGCCACCATCCGAAATATCACAAAACAGACCCAGTCCAAGTGAGTCTTGGGTGCTGGGGGGTGGAGATGGGTGCCAGGAAATGGCGGTTCGTACCTGGGGAGTGGGTGCCTCCTGGAAGCACACTGAGGGGCGTCAGTAGGAAATACCGGCTGGAAAGCGTTCGTTCTTTTCCATTCAGGAGCCACTGCTTCCAATCCCAGCCTCCTAGGCAGGCGGGGCCAGGCGGGGAGGTAGAATGCGCATGTGGTGCATCCTGTGGTGGCCGTTGCTGGACCTCGTCCTGTTGTTAGTAAAAAGGGATCTAAAATTCCTCATAGAAAGTCTCAGCAAGCCAGTCTGGTCTTGGTGAGCCGGTCATTCTCTGTGGTTTTAGCACCACTGTTGGTGTCAGCAGGACTGGTCAGCCTGCCAAAGTCTGGGCCCTCGGTCATAGGTCCTAAGTCCGTCCCATCTCCTGTTCCGCCACCACCACTCTTCTCTAATCTTCACAGCTGATCAGTGTACCTGGGAGAGAACAGGTCACCTGGTGTCCTTATAATACATCCTTCATTAGTTACTTATTTTTTTAAAAATATATTTTATTGACTTTTTTACAGAGAGGAAGGGAGAGGGATAGAGAGTTAGAAACATCGATGAGAGAGAAACATCTATCAGCTGCCTCTTGCACACTCCCTACTGGGATGTGCCCGCAACCCAGGTACATGCCCTTGACCGGAATCGAACCTGGGACTCTTGAGTCCGCAGGCCGACGCTCTATCCACTGAGCCAAACCGGTTAAGGCCATTATTTACTTCTTATTTGGGACAATGTGCCTCCCCTTTACAGTTGTCTCAGGGGGAAATCCAGAATTCACAAATTAGAGTGTGGGCTGCTGATCCCCAACCTGGCAGTCCCATGGTAGATGCCATCATTCCAACCGCCACCTGATTAAGACAGGATCCAGGGCAACAGGCCGGCCATGTGTCCCTGGCCCTCCCTGCTGCCCTCCCCCATTCTGCCTTTGGTGGACTTTGTTCCAAGTAGAGCTGCTCCTATGCCTGAGGTTGGGGGAGCCCGAAAAAGACCCACTTCCCCCAGGGCCGACTGACCAGCCACCCCGTCCTTGTGGTCCTCAGGATCGATGTGCACAGGAAGGAGAACGCAGGTGCTGCTGAGAAGGCCATCAGTGTCCACTCGACCCCCGAGGGCTGCTCCTCCGCCTGTAAGATGATCTTGGAGATCATGCATAAGGAGGCCAAGGACACCAAAACGTAAGGCTTCCGCTTTCCTACAAATGTGGAGATCGCCACCTTCCTGAATCCAACACACACCTTTGTTAGTGAGAGTACAGAGATACAGGAGATGTTATACATTGAAATCTTCTTCCCCACAAGTAACACCTTGTGTGTATGCCCTCTGGAAGCGTTGTGCACTCGGAAGCATATATGCGCACAAGCACAGGTGTTTTTATTTATTTTTTTAAAATATATTTTATTGATTTTTTTACAGAGAGGAAGGGAGAGGGATAGAGAGTTAGAAACATCGATCAGCTGCTTCCTGCACACCCCTCACTGGGGATGTGCCCATAACCAAGGTACATGCCCTTGACCTGAATCGAACCTGGGACTCTTCAGTCCACAGGCCAATGCTCTATCCACTGAGCCAAACCGGTCAGGGCACAGGTGTGTTTTAGCATAAAGAGGGTCATAATGCACATTTTATTGCATATTGATAAAACCGTTTTATACTTCGCTTTTTTCATTTTCATGCACCAATACATACTGACCCAATTCATTTTTTACAGCTGCAGATATTTCTCTTTTTAAAAAAAAAATATATTTTTGTTGATTTCAGAGAGGAAGGGAGAGGGGAAAAGATATAGAAACATCAATGATGAGAGAGAATCATTGATCGGCTGCCTCTTGCACATCCCCTACTGAGGATTGAGCTCGCAACCCGGGCATGTGCCCTTGACTGGAATCAAACCCGGGACCCTTCAGTCCACAGGCTGATGCTTTACCCACTGAGCCACACCAGCTAGGGCTAGCTGCAGATATTTCTACAGTGTGGCATTTTCATTTTTTATTTTCAGTTGATTTTTAAAGTGTACAGTTGAATGACTTTTAATATGCAGATACCTGTGAAACCATCACCACATTAAGATAATGAACATGTCCATTATCAGCATCGTTTTTGTGCCCCTTGGCAGTCCACCCCTGCTACCCCATTTCTTCATCCTAAGCAGCCACTAATCTGGGTTTAGTTCTCTTCTAACATGGTTTTGTCCTGTGGTTTGTCCTAAAAACCTCATCGGGGTGGCATGATGGCTGAGTCTCCACATGACCCTCACTTCTTCCCTTGTCTCCTTAAGGGCTGACGAGGTTCCCCTGAAGATCCTGGCCCATAATAACTTCGTGGGGCGTCTCATTGGCAAGGAGGGGCGCAACCTGAAGAAGGTGGAGCAGGACACGGAGACGAAAATCACCATCTCCTCGTAAGGCTCCCTTGTATTTCCTTCTATGTGAATGGGATGCCTGGGGGCCGGGGCCGGCCATAGTTCATGACTGAACCTTAATACTTCTTGCTCCTTAAGTTGGATGCAGCTTCTGCCCGTTAAAGAAGACTCAGAGGTGGTGAAGAGTGTTTATTTTGACAAGGACTGGGGCTCTCCCATCACACCGCTGTGTGGGCTGGCAGGGGCAGGGGACTGTTAGGGTGCCGCCTCTTCAGTCCTGCTCCCCCCCCCAACCCCCCACCCCGCAGACCTCAAGTGCTCTGCATCTTCAGGAGAGGCTGCAGCTTGGGCTGTGAGAATGGGACAGACCTGGGTCCTTTCCTGAGGACAGAGCGTATGCGGTGGCCTGCCTCTCCGGGTGGATTAGCTCCTGTGAGCACCGTGTGTCCTTTCATCAGCGACTTGCTGGTGGGCAGAGTGCTGCTCTGTTCTGGAAAGGCACAGGAAGTGGATGGCTTAGAACCCCCCAGGGAAAGGAGCACCCTTCTTGCTTCCCCCGTGATGACAACCCGTGATGGGATTCCTCACAAATAGAGGGGTTTCGTTTGGGTGTTCCTGCACATCCCCCTGCCCTGGTTACAAAGCGAAGGCCAGAGACAGAGCTGTTTGGCAAAGGTTAAGCAGCTGGCAGAAATGGAGCTGGGGCCTGGGCCCGTCCCTCGAGTGGAGGGGGACGCTGCTCTGCTCTCCCCGCAGGCTGCAGGACCTCACCCTCTATAACCCCGAGAGGACCATCACCGTGAAGGGGGCCATCGAGAACTGCTGCAGGGCCGAGCAGGAGATCATGAAGAAAGTTCGGGAGGCCTATGAGAATGACGTGGCTGCCATGAGTGTGAGTGCCAGGCACCTGCTGCCCCTCTCCAAGCCTGAGCCACACAGAGTGGGTCTTCCTCATGGGACGGGCATGCCAAGTGCTGTGTGGTGTGGCCTTGGAGGCCTTTACGTTTGACTAATAGGGGTTTTATAATTATATGTAAAACTTGTGTTTATGTAGACTTTAGCGGGTAGAGGGTCCATCACTTTCATCTGATTTTCAAAGGGGGTGGGGCAAGGATGTAGGAAGGTGAGTCCTAGAAATCACACGGAGACCTGTCCCTGCCGCGTCTCACGTAGGTGTGTGGCAGTACAGGGCTGTGAGTCTATCCCCTGTCCCAGGGCGGAATGAGCCAGACAGGACGGGCTCCTGACGGAATAAGATTGGTTGGAGCCGCGAGCTTTCAGTCCATAACTCCACAAGTACACGTGTGAGAACCCAAAGAGCAGGCGGTGTTTGTGTAAAAGCATGTCGTTCGTCTGTTTTTGGCCGACTCTGTCTCGGGGTACTACTCTCCCTCTTAGTTCAGCCAGGGCCACACACAAGCGACCACCAGGCCCGGTCAGCCCGAGCTGACCTCCCCCTCCTCGCCTTTCACCCCAGCTGCAGTCTCATCTCATCCCCGGCCTGAACCTGGCTGCCGTGGGTCTTTTCCCAGCCTCGTCCAGTGCAGTTCCGCCACCCTCCCAGCAGCGTCACGGGAGCGGCTCCCTATAGCTCCTTTATGGTAAGTGCAAAGCCTTCTCACAGAACCCCTGGGCCCGGCGGTGGCCTCCCTTAAACAGTCCCGATCCTTGGGGGTTTGTAGGGAGGTAGGAGGGTCTGAGGTTGCTTCTCCTCCATTGTTCCCAGCCCCTGGCAACAGGTCAGAACCTTGACTCCGTGGAGGGCAATCTCAGATGCTGCCAGGGATGCTGACAGCACTCTTCTTCCCTCCTCCTCTTCCTCCAGCTTCTTCCCTTGATTCCTGCTGGGCTTAGGGAGAGCCAGAGAGGGTGTTGCCCAGGTTGGCTGGGTGCCTGCACCCCTTTCTCCTTGAGGGTGCACAACAGGGCTGTGGAGGGGCTTCTAGGCTGTGGCTCTTGGCCTGTGGTGATGACACACCCTGTCTTGGCAGCAGGCTCCGGAGCAGGAGATGGTGCAGGTCTTCATCCCTGCCCAGGCGGTGGGCGCCATCATCGGCAAGAAGGGGCAGCACATCAAACAGCTCTCCCGTTTCGCCAGCGCCTCCATCAAGGTGATCTGCTCTGCCTCCCTCCCGGTCCCCGACGGAACCGCTCTGCTCCATCACCCTCTTGCCTTTGTCCCCAGGCTGGTGCTGGGGCCTGGCTGGTGCTGGGGCCTTTTCCCTGTGGCTTTTGGCCTTGCTGAGTTCTTCACAGAAATCCAGTTTTCAGGGTAGGGAGGAGGTGGTATTGTAGCCTAGAGAAGGAGGCTGGGTTCTGCGACAGACTGACGTGAGTTCGAATTCCCATTCCTAGATGTGTGACCGGAGCCTCCGTTTCCTCATCAGTATAGCAGACATCATGCCACCAGGAAACAATGCAGCTGGAGCCTGGTTCAGTCAGTGCCTGGGGGCAGGGGGTGCTCAGTAAATGTCAGCTGTCTGTTTACCTTCCCTGGCGGGGTCCTGTGGAGAGGGAGACGGTCACAGTGAAACAAGGGCGTTGTTAAATGGCACATTTGTTTCGGTGATCTCAAAGTTTTGGTGAAGTGTGCTCTGAGGAAGTGTGGTCACTGCCCTCCCTCTTGGTCATCTCATCATGACCCCCCCCTCCCCCGAAAAGACTCCACTGAAACCTCCCCAGGAGATTGGGTGATGGGAAGAGTGTGGGGGCCCTGCTTAGATACCGGCACTGAAGCAAGCCCATCCGTGCCTTCAAAACAGTTTTGGTACAAGGGGCAATGACTTCGCGGTGTGGAGTCTTTTTTTCTTCCCATGTTCTCAGAAGTGGATAGTGGGTGTAGGGGGACTGGCACAGTGGAGATGGAGGGCTCCTCTTTTTCTATTTTTAATTGAAAAAATATTTTAAACTTGTTTTTTAGAGAGAGAAACATTGATTTGCTGTTCCACTCATTTATGCATTCACTAGAGACCCGGTGCATGAATTCATCGGCCTGGCCTGCGGGATCGGGCCCAAACCGGCTCTCTGACATCCCCTGAGGAGTCCCGGATTGTGAGAGGGCCAGGCCGAGGGAACCCACCGGTGCACAATCAGGGCCGGGGAGGGATGTGGGAGGTTGGCCAACTGGGGAGAGACCTAGGGAGGGCTCTAGGGCACGTCCGGCCAGTCTCACTCAGTACCTATCAGCCTGACCCCAGCAGCAAGCTAACCTACCGGTCGGAGCGTCTGCCCCCTGGTGGTCAGTGCACATCATAGCGAGCAGTTGAGTGGCCTTAGCATCATTAGCATATTACGCTATGATTGGTTGACTGCACACTTAGCACGTTAGGCTTTTATTATATAGGGCTAGAGGCCCGGTGCACAAAATTCATACACTGGAGTGGCAGAGGGAGGGTAGTCCCTCAGCCCAACCTGCCCCCTCTCACAGTCCCAGAGCCCTCAGGGGATGTCCTACTGATGGCTTAGAAGCGGGCCTAAGCCGCAGTCTGGCCGCAGAGGCTCGGAGCAGGCACCCCTCTGTGTTGTTCTCTCAGGCTCGGGGCCGCACCCAGCCCCTCCTCCTGAGCTGGTTGTGACCTTTACGGAGTCCTGACCTCATTTGCATATTGATGCTTTTATATATATATATATATATATATATATATATATATATATATATATATATATATATATAGATTGGTTGCTTCTTGTATGTGCCCTGACCAGGGATTGAGCCCACAAACCTTGGCATATGGGGACGTGCTCTAATCAACTGAGCACCCAGCCAGGGTGAGGGCGCCTCTTTGACCAGCTGTTTGCTTTGCAGATTGCTCCTCCAGAAACTCCTGACTCCAAAGTTCGTATGGTTATCATCACTGGACCCCCAGAGGCCCAATTCAAGGTTCTGGTCTTTATTGTTTTCCTAAGCTGGACACACTGGGATTGACCTGGGGAGGGGTGTGCAAATCAGACTGGCATCGAGCTTCCCTCGCTACTTCTCGAAGGTCATGCGGGAAAGAAGGAATCTGAGGCTTCTTCCCTGTGCTCTGCCTTAGTTACTGCGGAAGGGAAGGCCTTTACACAGCCAGATTCCCTTCTCTCCCTTATGTCTCTACTACATCCCTG